AGAGAGATCGGGTCGAGTAATAGTGAGGTAAATGAGGCGACCAATAAGACGCCTGTATACTGCTGGATCAGGTAGTAAATCACCAGAATTAGAAGAAAGTTTAAGGCCAACTTCAAGAGGAGTAGAACGTGGTTTACAACCCATATGACCAGAAATACCTCTTTTGCTACGTGCAACTTCGAGGCCCAAAAAATATTTTAATTCACCAAGGTTCTTCAGTTTAAACTTGTTGTGCAAAAGAGCAGTAAGGTGCTGCACCTCCAAAGAATTATTAGAGGCAATGATGATGTCATCCACATAAACTAAAATTGCAATGAAAGCATTAGATGTGGAACAAACAAATAAAGAGTAATCAGAATGAGATTGAGAAAAACCCAGATTCAAAAGAGTAGCAGAAAATTTTGCAAACCATTGCCTTGAAGCTTGACGAAGACCATATAAAGATTTATGTAACTTGCAAACTGCATTCGGAGGCAAAACAGAAAGTAGAGGAGAATACCCAAGAGGTAAAGTCATATAGACCTCCTCAAACAAGTCCCCATGGAGGAATGTATTGTTGACATCTAGTTGGGTAAGGGACCAATTATGCACAGCAGCCAAAGTAAGAAGAGCACGGACAGTTGTGATTTTAGCCACCGGTGAAAAAGTTTCCAAAAAATCAATGCCTTCTTGTTGGCTGAAACCTTGAGCAACCAAATGAGCTTTATAACGCTCAAGAGAGCCACCCGAATGGTATTTGACCTTATAAATCCAACGGCAACCAACTGCCTTCTTTCCTGGAGGAAGAGAAACAACAGACCAAGTATAATTGGTTTCAAGAGCGGAGATCTCAGCAGCCATGGCATGCTGCCATTCTGGCAATTGGGAAGCCTGAGAAAATGTAGTAGGCTCAAAGTGAGAAGAGATGGAATTGACAAAGGCAGTGTGTGAAGGGGATAAGCGGTTATAAGAAATAAATTTGGATAAGGGATGATGAGTAGATGAAGAACAAATAAAGTCAGATAGGTGAGCTGGAGGATGTCGAAACCGTTTGGGTCTGGAGATAGCAGGCGATGGGGAATGTTGTACAGGGTTGGTAGGGGCAGATGGCAGGTGAGAAAATTCAGTGGAGAAGGACGAAGATGTGTGAGTCATATCAAAGGGAAAAATATTTTCAAAGAAAACAACATCACGGCTAACAAAAGTTCGATTGGAAGCTAAATCCAAAAGTTTATACCCCTTGTAACCCGCAGGATATCCAAGAAAAACAGATGGCAAGGCACGGGGAGAGAACTTATGGCGAGTTTTGGGAAGGGTTGAGCTGTAACACAGACAGCCAAAAGTACGGAGATGTGTATAAGATGGTGATTTGTGGCAAAGTAACTCAAAGGGGGTTTTAAAACCAAGTAGAGGAGATGGGGTCCGGTTAATAAGATATACAGCAGTGGAGACACAGTCTTGCCAATACTGTAGGGGAACTTTGGATTGAAAATGGAGGGCACGGGCAATAGGGGTGTAAATAGGCTAGGCTAGACTAGGCTTTTGCTTAAATAGGCCAGGCCTATGTAAAAAAATATTGGATATAGCCTGGCCTACTAGCCTGTGTAGGCCCCAAATTACAAGTTTGGCCTGACCTGTATTTAAAAAATAAAAGCCTTGGCCTAGGCCTGTTAGCCTGTTTAAGTCTATTAAACATTCAACAATTAAAAGAATAACTAAAATAATATTATTTTATTATTCAAAATTATTAAAATAATAATTTTATTTATTATATTTTAAATAAATAATATGATATAGGCCGACCTATAGACTTATAGGCCCAACATGTACAAAAAAGCCTATGACTTATTTTCTCAATAGATTTTTTAAAAAGCCTAGGCTTGTTCTATTTTACTATTTATAATAGAACAAGTCTGGCCTGATATAGGCTAGGCCGTAGGCTCTTGTAGGCTGGCCTAGCCCATTTACACCCCTAACGGGCAACATTCAAGAGGTGTTGGTGTTTGCGTTCTACCATAGAGTTCTGCTAGGGACGTTCGACACAAGAATGAAACATCTGAATACCTTTAGCGGAAAAGAAAAAAGAGAGATTAAATTCAGAAGCATTATCACAGCGAATTGACTTAATGGGAATCTTGTACTGAGCAAAAATCAGATTGTAAAAAGAAGGAAAAACAACAGAAAAAATAGACTTATTACTTAGGAAATAAGTCCAAGTAAACCTGGTTGAATCATCAACCAAGGTAAGGAAGTAACGAGAACCTTCAACAGAGACAGTGTTGAAGGGCCCCCAAATGTCACAGTGGACAAGATCAAAGGGGGAAGCAGCAAGTTTAGGATCCAAAATAAATGGAAGGCGCTTTTGTTTCCCCAAAGGAAAAACAGAACAATGGTGGTCAGCTGGTAAGTAATCAGAAAAACCCAAAGCACTTTTCATTGAATTTAAAATAGAAGGAGAAAGGTGACCCAATCTTGAATGCCATACAACATTATTTTTAACAGAAATAGAAAAGCAGAGGGGATGGGGAACACAGTCAGTGGGAAAAAGATTAGTGGTGTCCAAAATGTAAAGATCACCCAGGCGTTTAGCAATCCCAATCATCCTTCCCGAAGCATGATCCTGAAGAACACAAAGAGAAGAAGAAAAATTAGCAAGGATAGAAGAAGACTGTGTCAAAGCACTGATGGACAAGAGATTAAAAAGAAAAGAGGGAACGCATAAAACGTTAGAAAGTGTGAGTGAATAAGAAATTTTAACAGATCCCACAGAGGATACATTGACCGAGGAACCATTAGGAAATGAGACAGAAGAAGGAGACGAGGAAGAGGAAAAGAAGAGATCATGAGAGTCACAAACATGGTGTGTAGCACCGGTGTCTAAAACCCATGAAGAAGAGGGGAAAGAGAGATGATGCTTACCATTGAGACTAGCCACCGAAGGGAGGGAATCAGTGACAGAGGATGAGGTAGACGGAGTAGAAGTTGCAGAACTCTGATGGAGAAGCGAAATTAGGTGATTATATTGTGAAAGGGGTGAATGCAAGGGGAAAATCTGAGGTGGGAGGAATAGGGTTGAGAGATGAGAACGGTTTGGGGAAAGTGGAATGGTGAGGAGAGACTGAGACTATGGAATGGGCCTGGGCCGTGGGTTGGGCTGGCTTAGTAGGATATTGGCTGGACTTGTTGAGCCTTGGAGTGTAGCCTGGTGGATAACCATTCAACTTGAAACATTTCTCACAAGTGTGGCCTGAAAGATTGCAATAGGTACAAAGCGGGCGACGGCGTTGGATGGCAGCCACCGTAGACGGCGGCGAAGAAACAAGGGGAGAAGCACCAAGTACAGATCCGAGCAGCGGCGAATCTGGAACAAAGGCGAAGACAAGGAGAGTGACAACTGGCGTTGACGTTCCTCTTGCAGAATCATCGAAAAAACCTTAGTAAGTGGTGGAATAGGATCTATCATCAAGATCTGAGCACGCGAAGCAGAGTATGAGTCATTCAGTCCAATTAGAAACTGTAAAACGTGATCCTGCTCACGATGAGGATGAATGTGTCGAAGAGCTCCACACGTACAAGAAGGCAGGGGAGCATAATCGAGTAATTCATCCCAAAGTGATTTGAGTTTGGTGTAAAAACCATTGACATCCATGGAACCTTGACACAAGGAAGAAATCTGTTGTTTAAGTTGGAAGATGCGAGGGCCATTCGCCTGAGAAAATCGGGTCTTAAGATCTGCCCAAGCTTCATATGCATTGGTGAAATAGAGGAGGCTATCAGCAATCTCCTTGGTGACCGAATGCAGAAGCCAAGAGAAAACCATAGAATTACAACGATTCCAGGCAGAGAACAAAAGTTCAATGGGAGCAGGACGGAGAAGTGTACCGTCAATAAAGGCCAACTTATTTTTGGCGGTCAAAGCAAACAGCATGGCCCTATTCCATGAATTGTAATTAGAACCGGAAAGAGGTGTTGAAACCAAAAGAAGACCTGGATGGTCACTGTTATGTAAGTTAAAAGGACTGGAGGAATCATCCATGGAGATGGATGAACCTGAAGTCGCGGAGGTTGCATCAACCGGAGGTGGGCGGTTATTACCGCGAGCCATCAGAACAGGAATACTACTGATACCATATTAGAGAAAAAGCTAATTGTAAACTGAATACTCATTTCATTGAAAAGTGGTGAAAGAGAATACAAGAGGCCACCTATATATGAACCTCAGCAAAAGAAAACGTAATAGAAAAATGGTGTGAGCATGTGCTCACACAAAGTGCAAAACAGAATCAACTCAGCAATGAAAATGTACACCTCAGCAACTAGTTAGTTACAATCACTAACAGTAAAATAATAAGGAAAACCGTAAAAACCAAGAAACAAAATAATATGCTAATATGTATAAAAGTAGAAATCTGATATCTACAAAATAATCCACTGCTAGTGACTTGTTGAATCATTCCTATTTACACTAATCTTACATTATTAGTTAGTTACTATGCCACATTATAATCTTACATTATTTTTCCTTTTTAGACTCGATCCGTCTTACTTAGTGTGGATTATGGAAGAGGCCATAAGATAGGAGGATTTCAGACTTGACATATCGAGATTCCTTTCTTCGGTCAATTCATGCACACAAAGATTTATATTTTCCATCTTCCTGTTTTGAATTCCTTCTGCTTTTTCACCCATCTTGGACTGTCTTGTTTACGAAGTCCAAGCCTCCTTAACCAAACATTAATTGATATATATAAAATTGTTATTTAATCACCATACCCCATCTTGGTCTTTCACGTTATAATTTAATTATTCTTAGATAAATTAAATTTTAATCATAACCCTCTTTCCTTCTCCTCGTTCTCTCCCCTCTCATCCCCTTTACATGTCATGTATATATATGCAACCTTTCTCCAACCACGAATATATATCCCCCACAAAGCTGTTCCTTCTATTCCCCATTTTTGTGTCGATCAGAATACATATATTTCTTCGATATAAACACCATCAGTTATATAGATATAGCAATGGTTGCGCCTTCTCCAACTTCCACGGTGATAAGAACCAAGAAAACTAAGGCTGTGGGAATTCCCACGATCGACCTTTCCATGGAAAGGACAGAGGTGTCAGAACTAGTGGTGAAAGCATGCGAGGAATACGGTTTCTTCAAGGTGGTGAACCATGGTGTTCCAAAAGAGGTCATTTCAAGATTGGAAGAGGAGGGAGCTGAGTTTTTCAACAAAAACTCCTCGGAGAAGCGTCAAGCTGGCCCTGCCACTCCTTTCGGTTATGGCAGCAAAAATATAGGCCTCAATGGCGATATGGGTGACCTCGAGTATCTCCTCCTTCATACCAATCCTCTTTCTATCTCTGAGAGATCCAAAACCATAGCAAACGACCCTACCAAGTTCAGGTATTATTAATTCATTAATTAGTTGTCTAGTTGACAATCTAATTATAGCTCGTACTCTTCCATTTTCGTTAATTCTTTCCTCAACAACATAACCGATTCCATATTTGTGTTACAACTTTTATATAATGGTAAGTGGTGAAAGGGTAATATAGTAATACCGTTACAGAATTGGAATAACAGGTTGAAAGTTAGCGTAACTGAACTAAGCAGTTGAGGTGAGTGAGAGAAAAGAGTTTAAAACTTTAATTTGAAAATCTGTCCTACGAATCAAATTGAAATATCTAAAAATATATATATATATATATGTATATATACATGACATGATCATTTGACACAGATATCAAACTTTAAAATTTGACGTCAAATCTTAATATTTTAATTTTTGTCAATAAACAATTATTATTTATTGGAAATTAATAATTAATTAATAAGTTTTATTCCTAATAAATGATAATCGTTAATTGACGAAAATCAACGATTAAAATTTAGTGTCAAATTTTAAAATTTGATATATATATAAAAAATATTTCTCAAGCAGCTTGAGATAAGTTTATCTCTGACTACCCAAAATTACGTCGTTTTATTTATTTATTTCCTTATATTAATTGATTTACCTTTGAATAATTATGATTTCCTTTTTTCTCTCTTCCTTTATCACCATTGATCCATCTTTGTACGGTTATGATTTAGTAACCGGAGATAAGATTATCTCAAGCAGCTTGAGAAACGATAAGCCATATATATATATATATATATATATATATATGAGATTTACATTTTTGCAGCTGCTGTACGTGCAACAATCAAATACTTGCCATATATATATTTGAAAGCATTAAATGCGGAGAATCATAATCATACAAAGGATGAAAATTATTAAATATGAGAAATCATAACCATACACCAGTCGTTGCTGTACGTAAAGTGGCTGCATAAATAATTTTATATATATTTCTGTATTTGCATATGCCAGAAAGAGAGAGGAAACAGGGTAGGGACTAGGGAACAAGTCCTTGCCTGGTGGGGGGCTTTGCCGAGTCTGTAACTCTCAGGAGTTTGACATATTTTTGTGATATATATATTTCATTTCTTTATTTACATATTGCGGAAACATTTAAAAGGGTTGAAATGAATACTAAAACAATTGATTCTGGGTTAATGACGGTGAGTCTATAAACAGCATAATTTATTATAATAATTTTGCTGTCATGAATGGTGTGGAAAAAAAATATTCTTTAGGAAATTAGTATAATATTATTGGTGCTTGATTCCTAAACAGGGACATCTTTCCTTTATATTCGAAATTATGCATGCTACAACAATTTACATTTTGTTTAATATTTACTAGTTAATCAAGCTCATTTTACCTCACCTTACCATTTTCGAATTAATGTATATATGTAGTTGTTTTCATGTGGTTGGTTCGGCTACGTGATAAAGACTTCTACACATTTGAATTAGTTGGAGACTATTTATGTTGAACATCATCCTGATTTATTTTATTAGGCTCTGACGACCACTCTCCGTGGATAATATATAACATTTATACAGCAATTACGCTGGCTTATTTTATCAATTTTCTATCATTTAAATATGATTATTAGAGTTGAAAAGACATAGAAACACGTTTACAAAAAAAGATGGCCATACCAAACAACCCTGATTGATTTTTAGATATCTGGTTTCAATTTTTTAAATACAATATGAAAATTTCAAAATCTAATTATAGTATTCAACTATTATAATGATATTTTTGTGGTATATTATCATCATGCACTTTTTTTTATAAGTGCACATGGAGCAGCAACTTAGTCAAATTAAGATTATTTAATACATCATAGTTTTTTTTTTTCTTTTGTGTATTGTGACCAAATACTTTGTAAAATTATTAACCAAAATTTAATTTTAATTAATTAAAGCGTCGCAGATCTCAATCAATCATTTAAAATTGTTGTTAAATTTTAATGTCCATCTATGTTTACTTATACTTATTATAGTTTTATTTGAGATAGAGACAGGGGGGCAGTGGTGAGCAATCAATCGTAGTAATTGAAGCCTATTCTTTAACTTGTCAAATTGGCAGTAGATATAATTGTTTTGGAAATAATAAAATGGAGTCTACCTTCTATAAATGGTGGGCCCAAAACATAGAACCAAAGTAATTATTTGACAATCACGTTACATCTTGGGTTTACCATCAGCCACGACTTTCTTTAAGGCAATGGAATTACTTGACTGCATCTTGCAAGTAGTAAGTATTTAAAACTTATCTTCTCCAAGAAAAAAGTTATGCATAAGCATAATTTTGGCTTCAAAATTTTTATCTATAGGCAGAATTGTGACCAATGATGTGTGAGCCGAAAAGGTTACAAGTACAACACACGGTCATAACTTGGCTTAACTCGGGAATCGTCAGAAAAGACAACAGTACAAAATTAATGTACAAAAGGTTTTTTTTTTTTTTTTTGGGTACTAGAGAGGGACTTACAAACTTAGTTTATTCATGCTATTACTCGCATAGCATTGGCCTTTCTTGTTGTTGTAGAACCGCCACGCCTGCTTTTCCTAGCATGTCCGTGCTATCATTGCACTTCAAGAAAATATATCAAATATTGGGGTGACAAAGTCAAAAAGAAATCATTAACTTATACAATCAAATCAAGAACACAGAAAGAATTTATTTATATTTTAAAAAAGATGCTAGTTCTCCCAAATTAAATGTAGCCTTTTCTTCTATAGATGAAGTGATGCAAAAAATTACACGTACCGTAAGTCATGACCCTGTGTAGTTTGTGGCCTTGAATTGCAGTTGCGCGGTGAATGATTATATAGAAGCAGCTAAAGAGCTAGCATGTGAGATTCTTGATCTAGTAGCGGAAGGTTTGTGGCTCCCGGACAAGTTATCACTGAGCAAGCTTATCAAAGACATCCATGGTAGTGACTCACTCCTGAGGATCAATCACTACCCTCCTGTGAACCCCAAGGGCAACAAGAATTTGGACCCATCCAAACTTGACCCACATCAGCTTAAGGACAATAATCATAGTAATAATAATAATAACAACAACAACAACAACGTTGGCTTTGGGGAGCATTGTGACCCTCAGATCTTGACCATCATGCGATCCAACAACGTGGGTGGCCTTCAGATTTCCACCCATGATGGACTGTGGATCCCAGTTCCCCCTGACCCCAACGAATTCTTCGTCATGGTTGGGGATGCCCTTCAGGTTGGTTTGTAATCAACTCATTATCTCTGTCACAATCAATATTTTCCAATGAACATATTAGCATTAATCACATTCGTTTGCATTATTTTTGGTATATTAACTGTTACATAATTAAGTGATAGGATAACACTTTCACAATAACTTATTATCTATTCGTTTATGTGCATATTTTTTTTAAAGGTTTTGACAAATGGAAGGTTTGTAAGCGTGAGACACAGAGCATTGACTAACACAGTGAAGCCCAGAATGTCAATGATGTACTTTGCAGCGCCACCGCTGAATTGGTGGATAACTCCACTGCCAAAGATGGTGACACCCCACAATCCAAGTCTATATAAGCCCTTCACGTGGGGCCAATACAAGCAAGCAGCATACTCTCTCAAATTGGGAGATTCTCGCCTTGATCTCTTCAAGCTCCAACAGCAACAAGATAGCCATCTCTCACCTGCTTCTCAATGAACACTCAGATAACATTCATTGTTGATATTCTTTCCCCACCTAAGTAAGTAGTCAGTAGATAGCAGCAGAAAGATTTTCATAGCCTCTTCTTTACTTTCAATTTTTGTTCTTGTTTTATACTCTTTAGAATTTGATAGGGATTTCTAAGTTATTTTACATTGGGTAAACAAATAGTCCATCTAGTGGGTACTATTGTAAAATATAGGCAATCTTCCAAGTCCTATACAAGGGGATTTTCTTATGTAAGTAAACAGTACATAGCCATCGGATCTAAAAATGCAGAGTCTCTAAAAATTACTATTTGTAATTATTAGCCCAAAGTTTCACAATGTTTAATCAAGTTAATGTGTGAAAAAGTTGTAATTATTTGCTAAGAGATGATCTTTTACCAATAACTTTCCAAATGAAAAAAACCAAGTAAAACGTGGGAAACATCTCACCTAAATTTGAGATAAGGATGACAACCAACTCTTTTGTGGAGAGTCAGTCCCGAGCCAACCAGAGACAGATAATCTGGTCGAAGTTGACATTGATAGAACCGAAAGCCAACAACTAGAAGTTGAAAGTCAACTAATTAATTTTTGACGCAGAGCAGAAACCAAATATGTTCTGTCTTCTACTTCTTTACCAATCAAAGCCAGCGCTCACCTAAGTTGGGATGAAACTTCTAAAGTTTCTCTCTTGACAATTAATGTAACAGGTATCAAATACCAATTGGTGTGGAGTCCCAAAACTAGTTGAAAGTTCCTACATACACCTAGCAAAAGAGGAAAAATATGAGTTTGCTAGAGATACGAGTTTATCAAATTACATGTCAAATTTGAAACTTGGACAACAGATAAGGAAGTAGAACCAGACTTTAAAATTACGGATCATTACACCTATACTGCTGCAAATGGTCCCGTAACTACATACGTGCTACAATAGCAAATTTGTAATCCACAAGGACCACAACACCTAAGTTGCGTTTGTTCCGGGCGCTACCCATTAACACTATTTTATTTTTCTCAGATTAGTTGCTTCGATTTTGTGCTGCTTTTTAGTTGGTACCGCTTCTAACTTGGATCAAATTCTTTTTTTGCTATCAAGTTGCACTTTGAGCCAGCCCTCATATAGAAGTGACCACTTTGAGTTATTTGAAAGCAAGACTGCATACATCATCATTCATCCTTTTTTGAGTGTAGGCTTCAACCTTTTGGACTTTTGGTGTTGTGAGCCATTCCCTCAGCCTCAAGTGACTTACTATCTTACAAAAAAGTTTTTGTGCATGACCACTAAAAGATTTAATCAGGCATCTGGTTTACCTGGGAAAATCACATTTTACCAACATTTCAGTCTTAATGGTCAAGTCTCTCAAGTTTGTAAAATGGTTTTAGGGTAATTGTCATTTGAATTTTTATTTTTATTTTTATTTTGGGTTGAAGAGTTAAATTTCAGGTGATACAGACACTTCCAGCTTCGGATCATAAGCCCACACAAATTATAAATTAAAAATCAAAAGAAAAAGAATGATATAGGAAAAATCCAATCAGGTAAAGAAATCCCTCCTTGCTAGAAAGCGAAGTTGAGTTTTGCTTGTCTAGATTCGGTGAATTAAGTCGCAGTTGTGCCATCAACTAATTAAGGTGCGCGGTTATTTAATTTGTGAGTTAACCCAAATGGTAGGTGTAGCTAGACACTGACTTGAAAGAAGGCTTTCAGCATACCTGCTTGGGTAGATTCAGTTCCTGAATTGCATTGTTGGTGGACAATATTTTTCTCATGCAATTATTGCCATGATCTTTGAATTAGTACAAAAGAAATTGTAGCACGGATTACAACTCATTGGGACGACAGCAATCATCATATTTTTCCTTTTTTTTTGTTAATAATATCCATTTGTCATCAACAAAAAATCATTTTCAAAGCTGTTAAACTTAATTTCAAACAAACGCTCAAGTGCATGTCCATATGAGAAGCATAATTTTCTTACTCTATGGTCGTTCCCTCAAACTCCAATGTCAAGCGGGTCCAGGGGAAGCCCGTGACGGGAAACCACCACCAATGAACTAAGGCTACACCAACCGTAGCAAGTGGATCCGACACCATGTCTCAACCCAAAACCTTAAGGCATTGAATTCATGGGTCATTTCATTTATATACTCTTCAGTTAGCTCATTACCAACCAATGTGATCACACTTGAATATCTCAACATTAATCACTAGCCAAGTGTCCATATGGTTGTTAATGTTAGAAATTTTTTGTTGAGAAAGTTGGTCAAGCAAGAAGCTCGCCCACAGTTTACACTCTCTTTTTTATGAGGCTGTTCAACGCTCTGGGACATGCCTGAGAAGGTTTAGATGGCCAACTCCTGACAAAAATTTGAGGGCAAAACTGCATGAAACAGTTTCGGTTCATATCATTTCTTAAGGCAAACTCACAATGAATGAATAAACTGCTTTTGAATTTTGCATTTTTATTTTCATTTCATTCACATCAACCAACAGTTTTATATGAATTTCTGGTTTGGACCCAAATCCATGATTACATTTTACTTTGATTATCTTAATTTGGCAAGAAAATGGTAGAGGAGTTAACTTACTGTGATATTTATGATTGTTTAATTTCTCAAGCAATTCAGAATATCTCCACGAGTAAGACGCAAGTTACCCTTCAAAGTTTAATATGAAAAAACATATAAAGGGTGAAGAGCAGAGCTTGACATATATCTGACATTTCTTATCTATTTCGAGTAAAACCTTGAAAGCATATGTCTTATCTCTCCTGCAATTACTATGGCTTCAATTTTGCTGTTACTAGAAGTGTTAATAAGAAGATGTCATCATGAACGTCTGCTACAGGGTCAGACGCGGAAAGAGGAAGAGACAAAAGACTTAACATCCATCATTAAGGTGAAGAAACAAGGGAAAGCATCCTCTGGTTTAGACAACCTTGATTGCTTCTGGAGTTTCTTGAATGATCACAACGAGGAGACCAATCCCTGGAAATTTGCTGAGTATTGCATTTGGCCTTAAAATTAATTAAATATGATGTCCTATATTCTGTTCTCCATCTTATCCTCAGTTATGTTTTCAAATCATCCCAACCTTGAAGATAAAATTTGATGCTTTTGTTCTGTAATTTGATAGGTATCAAGCTAGTCTAGCTTTGCGAATGCGTGGTGTTTATTGTACTCGAGTTGGTCCTCATTTCCATCATAAAAATATCAAATATTATCGTCCTTTATTCCTTTTTCCAGTTAAGCAACACGTGTAATGTAAGACTAGTGTGTCTATTATACGGGACTGTGAATGGAAATTCCGAAATTATGAAGATCTAGACGGTTAGCAGTGTACATGTTAATAATATGTTGTTGGTGAGACATGCATGCCTGTATGTAGTGTCTTTGTTTTCAAGTAGTTAGTTAGACCAATGGAAACGATTATTTGTAAATGGGAAAAGTGTTTGATCTTCAAATCACATAATTTGTGTTATTTCATATGAGATTCGTCCCTTTATTTTTTTTTGTCCACTTTCTCTCATTTTTATCTATTTCATTTTCTCAATTAAAATGACACAACTTTACATCCTTTAAAATAGCACACAATTTTTCCTTTGTAAATTATCTAACATTGAAATATGGTGAAAATTCAGAAGTGGGGTATTGGGTTGTAAAGACGTATATCATTTATAACTTAATTTTCAAGTCGCAATCTCCTTTGATTGGTATTAGGGAAGCAAAGCACACCTTGATGGGTAAAAGCAGGATTAAATTGGATAGGCGAAGGGACTAATGAGCCAAGTGTCTCCTTCAATGAAGTGAATCCCAATAAAAGGCTTGGCCTCTTCATCCGTTAGCATTCTTGCCCAGGGCACTCTTCCCGTCAAGTTAGCCCCTGGCCCACTACACTTGTATTCTCCATAATATACCCTCCTGCAACACACACACACAAACAAACAAACAAACACAGAATCAGCCCTTCGTTGCGTAATTTGGGTAAAAGACAAAGATTCAAACCATGTTGCATTATACTAACAAGTCACGTTTTTGGTCACCCCAATCACTCCATCCTTTGGGTAGAACTATTGTGTCCAAGTAGGTGTAAGAGTAAACAACTCTGGAATATTCTCCCCATGCTCTTCCGAGATAAACCTGTCCACTACCTGTTACTACGCCGTTTTTGAACGAAAATCCACTCTCCAATGTCGAATTTGTACGCTTTTGAGCAGTGATGGAGGCCACCTTCTTGGTTATAGAATTTACATAGCAGTTCTGCATGCCAATAAATTGTCATTATCAAGCCCAGATGGGCCAGGAGAAGCCCATGTTTATAAATGTAAATTGGGCCGGAATTGCTTTGCTGAGAAAATTATCTCTTTTTGACCTTGATCAAGCACATGTCTATATTTCGTAGTGGCAGAGTCAGACCCAAAAAGAAAAAAAAAGGTATGTAGAGAAGGAAGACCTCGTAAAGGGACCTGCCAGAGCCGAAGATGAAATCAACAGAGCCTTGAATAAAGCAATTGTTGAAGTAGTGGAGGCCTTTGTGATCGTACAGAGTGTCTTGAGCCCCATAGAAACTGCAATTGTAAAAGGCAGCTTTCGTTCCTGAGATGCGAAACGCCACGGCTTGTTCCCCCACCAATCCAATGCTATGCGGTGCAGTATTCTGTTTTAGCACACAATTTACCATCTTGTTGGTATTGTTACTTAGGTATGTTTCCTTGACGAAGAAAATTAACTTACAATATAATTCACTTTTGTTTCATTATACAACGTCACATTAGCTAATTCTTACCATTGAATTTTGCATAGCTAATTAAATCAACTTGAATATTTATGTAAGATTGAATAGTAAAGGTTTAAATCTATTCACCTAGTATGTTGTTATATATATTTCCCTCAAAGTTAATATTCTGTTTATTCTTGTCACATGAACCTTTGCTATAAGTTCCCCCCCTCTCAAAAACTCTTATTATGCATGTATAGTTCATATTTTAGAAATCCATATGTCCCATTCCAATCCCCCAACACAGAACTGTAAATTTCTGTTGCAAGCACAACCTGAATCCTTAATTTGATGGTCTATGACACTCTAAACACCCACAGATATGTTGGAAATCGACAATCACACAGAATCGAGAAAACAGAAAAAGAGATAAGAGTAGAGAGATTGACACGATGATTTACCCTGGTTCACCCAATATAGGCTACGTCCAGTTTGTCTATACTATATTCACCTCACCGCCACTCGTTACAAGTCTCTCGGTTTACAAGGCAAATATAAATAGGAAGCTCCCCGACAATTAGGGCCAACATCATCATGTGAAGTATGAGCCATACCCAACAAGATATCATGAGCTAAGATATTGCTCAACGATATGCCGTTTTTAGCCTTAGGGAAAGTTTGTGTACCTCAAATTTTATGTTGATGGCAATAAAATAACTAGCATCCACGGCAACAGTTGCACTCTGGAACGTCCCTAACGGAGTCCCATCTCTTCCAGTGACAGAAGCTGTATCATTTCCCGTTATGGTTGGTATCCCCCTGGCGTCCCCTAATAATGTAATGAAAGGCAATGTTCTTGGGATCATTACCTTCTCCCTAAAACAATTAATCATACCTTATTAGTTGCAATCTCCAACTTCAACAATTTCAAACCCATGTAGCTCACAACTAAAAAAGGTAACTGCCACAATATAAACTTCCATTTAGTCAGCATTAGAGTATTACACACACGCACATACCTATAAACACCTGGTGCAATCAACACTATGACTCTCCTAGTGTTGCGTGGTGGAATGCTATTGAGAGCTTCTGTAATGGTCTTAAAGTCACCAGCACCGTCTTGGCTAACTGTTATTGTAACTTTGTTACTCTCAGCCTGCCTCAGCTTCAAATCTAGAGCCTGCCCAACAGCACCAGTTGCAGCCACGTTCCTTTTGGTTTCCAAAATGGTCCTTTTCTGATAAGTCTTGACATTCCATGATATCCACTTGTCATAATCGGCCACCCTATCAATGCTGATGCTGGAAGTGATGTATAAAGATGAAAGAAGAAAAAGAATAGCTTGGAAATGGGTTTTAGGAACCATGGCAATGCTAGTATTACTAGTACAATTTCATGACCGAGTACTATATTATAATCTTAAACGTCAGTCAGTGCTTGATCAGAGTTGAAATGAAGAGACCATATAAATATGATTATATAGACACACGTAAAAAGGAGAATTCGTCTCTTTGCTATTTACCAAACTAACCCTTATTTACAATAAAGAAAATCAGCAAACAAACAACAGCAGAGTATACTGTTCTGACACATGCTCATGAAGTTGAAAGATAGGCCCATTATTTATTATATTTTATTTTTTTTCCCCTTAGACCAGGATGGACCTAATGTGTAATGGGCACTAAGCATTTTCTAGACAAAATCAGAAACTGATTGGCTGTTGGGGAAGGATTCTGGGACCCCAATCCCCAAACTATCACCAATGTTAATGCGCATTGGCTTGAAGCCAATTCCTTGGGGATGAATAATGGTGCTGGAGGAAGAAAATTGCTGAAACTCATAGCTGTATTCCATTTTCCAAAAGTTCATGTGGGAGTGGTGGCCAGGCCCGTTATATATATATATACATAGGACACTCGTTCTATATATCCGAAGACACAAATATAGCCGTGGGGTAGGAATTTTATTTATTTATTTGGGTTTTTATTGCATCAGGCTTATCAAGCATGTTCGTCACACTAAGAAGATTGTCATTTTTAAAAGATTTCATTTGGTTCCAAAATATTTTAAAGAATATCATAGGGCTTAACTAAAAGAATAATGCAATATACTATATTTGAATGATAGAAAAATATAATAGAATGGAAGGAAAAAGCGGTAAAATTGAAAAGAACTTCTTGTAAACTCGAACGACTGATGAGAAGAATAGGAATTGTAAAATATTAATGTAACCGTTATAAATATATGATCAAACATAAAGGGAAAAACATCCAAAATCTTTACTAAAATCTTCTTCCATAAAATTTTTATCCACTCAAAGAAGAACCTAAAGAAGAAGAATAAAACAAGAACTTATAATTTGTATCCAAAAATAAAAAATAAAAAATACGAGAACTTGTAAATTCACTGATGCAATGGTGCCCTCTTTTCCCTCTTGGAGAATTATGGATTAAGATAACATGGATTGTTAGGCAAGTGGGTCTCCAAATTTTCATTGGCCACGGGAACATGAACAGGAGGGATATTGTAGTGCATCGCTTGTGCGAGCATTAATCTATCTTCAGCAGAAAGGGCACCGTGCAAAACATTCGTACTGGAATTACTAGCAAAATGATAATCCTCTGACCCATTAGCAGGTGGTATCATTGTGTCATTTGGAAAATAGCCATTGTGTGTGCTTGTCCCATTATTGTTAACCATAGGACCTCTATCTTCAGCAGAAAGGACCCCTTGCAAAGCATACATATTGGAATTACTGGCAAAACAATCTCCCTCTATCCCATAAGCAGGTGGCACCATTGACTCGTTTGGAAAATAGTCATTACGTGTTCTTGTCCCGGTATTGTTAACAGTAGGTCCTTTATCTTCAGCTGAAAGGACCCCTTGCAGAGCATTCATACTGAAATTACTGTCAAAACAATATCCCTCTGACCCATTAGCAGGTGGTGCCATTGTGTCATTTGGAAAATAGCCATTGTGTGTGCTTGTCCCATTACTGTTAACCATATGACTTCTATCTTCAGTAGAAAGGACCACTTGCTGAGCATTCATTTTGGAATTACTGGCAAAACAATATCCCTCTATCCCATAAGCAGGTGGCACCATTGAATCGTTTGGAAAATAGCCATTGTGTGTGCTTGTCCCGTTATTGTTAACCATAGGACCTCTATCTTCAGCTGAAAGGACCCCTTGCAGAGCATGCATATTGGAATTACTGGCATAACAATATCCATCTGACCCATTAGAAGGTGGTGCCATTGTGTCGTTTGGAAAATAGCCATTGTGTGTGCTTGTCCCATTATTGTTAACCATAAGACCTCTATCTTCAGCAGAAAGGACACCTTGCAAATTGTTCATATTGGAATTACTAGCAAAACAATATTCCTCTGTCCCATAAGCAGGTGGTACCATTGAGCCGTTTGGAAAATAGTCATTGTGTGTTCTTGTGCCAGTATTGTTGACAATAGGACCTCTATCTTCAGCAGAAAGGACCTCTTGCAAATTGTTCATAATGGAATTACTAGCAAAACAATATCCCTCCGACCCATAAGCAGGTGGTACCATTAAGTGGTATGATAAATCATCAGTGCCTGTACTTGTGCCAGTATTATTAACAGTAGAACCAACTTCATTTGATGGTCCAACGGAAAAGACCCCACACACGCCATTCATATTAGCATTACTAGCCGGCCCATAAGTATCAACTACCGTTATGTTTGGCAAATTATCAATTTGTGTATTTGTGCAAGTACCCGCTTCCATTGATGGTTCAGCAAATGTATTTGATGAGTCCACCTTTGCCATATTCATCTTTGCCATATCCACAGGTATTTCAAACTCAGAATTTGCTATCCATGTCTTGTAACTAAAATCTTCATTCCCCAGCCCATAATATATGTTTGCCACTTGTCTTTCAAACTCAGAGGCTATTGGCCATGAATGGTCATTAGATTTTTCATATTCCAGCTCACAAGATTGTTTTTTGACCTCGCTTGGACCTGGGATTTCCAAAATATTTGCATTCTCATTATGTCCTTGACTCCTAAAGGCCAGCTCTTGATCTTGGGGTATTGGATCAGTGCATGCCTTATGAAGGGAGTCACCATCTACCACTGAGCAAAAAAATTAAAACCAAGGTTAGTTTCGTTATGTTTTAATAATCTATTGCCTAATTTGAAGTGTTGTAAGTTCAAAGAAAAGGAAAGAATGAGAATGATTATTACCTGATGTTGATAAAATCGCATTGCCAAATGGTTGAGCTTCTTGAGGTGAAATCGGAAGTATATGTTGCTGGTGACAGTCAGCTGGGTTGGTTTCAAATGCCGTGGCCTCTTCATCCAATATAATTGAACCGAAATATGGAGAATTTAAACTTGGAAAAGGTGATTGGGTCAACTTCAATAATTGGCTATCACATTGTATCAGTTCCTCATAACACTTATCAAGAACTCTTGGAGGAAACTCAAGGTAGTGCCTCCTATCCAGTGGAGATAGTAAGAAAAAAAAAACAAGTGAATATTGGACACGTACGGTATACTAATGCATTTCTATTTTGTCAGAAAGAGAAAAATTAAATAAATAATAATAATTTAAAATCAATGCAAATGCATACCGATATATCGAAGCATGACCTCCTATAGTGAAGTCTTTTGATAACTCCCAATTAGGATGCTTTCGAGGCTTTGGATCAGTGTCGTAAAAGAACGTCGGTTGCTTATCTAGCTGAGTAAAAAAAAAAACCATATACGATGATGAACTTAATTCAAATACATTTAATTAAGAGGAAAAATCATGAAATTAATGATAATAATAATAATAAAAAACCTCAATTTGAAGAATTCCGAGTCTATTTTCTTCTATATCTGCACGCATAGTTAAAATATTTTCCCATAATACTTCAATTTTGTACTTGACCAAACGAGATTTATCTAACACCTCCCACACAAATTTTCGCTTTTCATAAAAACACTTGGCCATCAAATCTGCTTCACATGTAGCCACAATCTGTATATAATACACAACAACAAATATTACAAATAAATAAATAGAAATTAAAGAATTATATATATATATATATATATATATATATATATATATATATATATATATATAACATAAAGAAATGTTTTAAATAAATGAAACTTATTTTCTACGAGAATGCATTAATATTTATTAATTGACAATGGTACGTGAAAATCTCCTATGGTGAGCGAAGTAGCAGGAAAATGCCCAACTGAGGCTTTGGTAGGGCTCTTTTTGGTTCTTTCACCAGCATTCAGTATATCTTCGGGTGTCAATTGGAGTTTCAATCCGATTGGTGGCGGTTCGAGCATATGGTCTTCCAAGCTAGTCTGGAAAAGACGTCTCTGCACAACATTTTCAAGAAAGAAATTACATGATTTGCTTATAAAGAGTTTATGTAAATTCAAGTTTGGATGAGTTTTTTTATTTATTTATAAAATTTATGTATTTTTAAAAAAAAATTAAGTTTACCATATTACAGGAGATAAAATTATCTCACATATACACATACATAAAATCCATGTAAGACCATGAAAGGAGAAGAAAGAAAGAGAGAGAAAATTAGATCCCCACCCACTTTTATATATGTATGAAAAATAATTTTATCTGCTGTAATACGAGAAACATTAAAAACAAAATATTTCTCAATTTATTATGTATTTGGATGCCAACATAAACAAAAGTAAAGGTCATAAAAAAATGTCAAACTATTATTTTTGTTTCCAAAGCCAACATTCCTAGGATAGGATTTATGAATTTTAAAAAAAGTCAAATATAATTTTTTTATTTCATGTGCTGTATCTAAAAGTAAAGCAAAGACGATTTTCTGAAAAAAAAAAACTTTAAAAAAAACATAATAAGATATTCAAATAGACCCTAAAACTTAAGGAATCATTAGAGATGAAAACGAACTAGTTGAATCAATGCACGAAAGTATTATATATATACATAAGGATCTGTTTATAATTTTTTTTATAAATTACACTAAATATGACCGGTCATACACTCTTGATTAGTGTATGATCAGTCAGACATAATATAATTTGTAAGAGTTTGTAAACAAATAATTTGTAAATATAACCTTCCTATATATATATATATACACATACATATATATATATCGTTGATCTTATTTATATCTAACGGTTCTGATTAATTAGATATTTGAGCAATTAAATGCAAACAAACCAATGATTGTGTAATAGTTTAATGCAGTCGCTGACCTAGAAAATTTTATTTATGTGTGCATATTTAGTCCAAATATTTAGTGGAGCAAATTTGGGGGTAGTGCCTCCGAAAAAAAAAAATTAAACAAAGTTTTAAATGCATTAAAAAATAAAAAAA